GGCGCAGATTGATGAATATAGATGAGTAGAAATGTGTTTTATTGGGTTGCGCTGTTGTGCTTGGGAGTCCATCGATGTCCGTAATAAAGTAGAGCGGCGTATTATCGATGTCATATCGATTATGCGGAAAAATGCTTTATAAAATTATGTTTTTGCTAAGATATTTAGAGAGGACTTATTGTTAAATAAAACAGTGATATTTTTAAATAATTTCTACTGGGTGAATGGGCTCCGAAAACCGTAAAGATAGTTGTCTGAAATTCATAAGCTTTTGTTTGTGTTACAATAGTGTCACAATATTTCTTTGTCAGTTTATTTTGTTGTAATGCTAAATTGAAAAGTATGTTAACTAAGAATAATATTTTGTCACAATCATGAGTTCTTTTCAAAGCACATTACATGAGACCAATTTAACTACACACACTGACATTTATCTACACGCAATCGGAGCATCGAAATAAATGTATCGATAAATTCCCAAGTCTAGATACTATTTAAGGGGCACATCACGTGCGCCGGAGTTAATCAAGTTCCGAAAGAACTACGCAGGGTATACATTAACAGTTCCCGACTACCCTACTACATTAAAGGTAGTAATGTAATTTATCGCTGGGCCGATTGAACGCTCTAGTATTGATAGTTTCGACAAATACAGCCCCTGTTAAGAAAAAGAGTGTATAGTTGAAGGTTTTCGGAGTTTGATGTTACGTGACCCTTATTTGTGCGAATTACGTGATAAAACGAAGAGCAACTTCTGAAAAAGCTTTTTGGGGAACTTCAAACGATGTAAGTATCGTTGTACAAGACTGTTGTTTCTTGATGTTTTCAGTCGATAACCAGCGTTCATTATAGAAAGAAATAACATTATTAATTGATTAAATTGAACATTGAAGAATCGGGAAGGATTTAATTTTTTTGTGATTGTCTATTGAAAACAAATTATTTTTTGTCGAAACGGATTCGTTTGTTGGAAAAACAAATCGGAAATGCAACACAAAGAAATAAGGAAATGTGGAAACTGAANTCCGAACTGGAGGTTCAGGCTCGCTGCATCGTGAAAATGCTGACTCTGCAGGTTATGATGGCAATACAGCAGTTTAGCCAACATTTTCAAGGTGTAACAGTGCGAAGAGATGGGTCGTTCAGAATAGTCAGTCAAGTGAAAAACTTATTCAGCGAGACAACGGATCTTCGCAAAAGGGCAAGTTGGATCTCATACATAAATACATAAAACTATCATCCGAATATCCTTTATTACGACGGTAAATAAAATAAAAAAACGTCATATACAGACGGCGGTACGCTCCAACGAACTAGAAGGATCGCAGTGGGAAACCGTATAACTGAAAATTCGCGAAATTGCGGCTTCATATTCAGGATTAAAGTTCGCAGTTTTAAATGCAAATGTTTTCATTTTATTTGACTATTTGTTAAAAAGCCTTGCGTGAAGCAGGATTTTTAAGTTGTTTTTTTTAATAATGCGACATAGGCGTAGCCCAACGTTCACAGCTCTTTTAGTTATCTCTGGAATAGAATATTCTCCCAACATAAGCCTTTTTTGTGCATTATTCTTCATCCACTTATAGAAGTTCGTTCGTTTCATCCAAATGACGTCCACAGCTGGACAAATGCTTCCCCCAAAGATTTCACTCGAATCCAGGCACCTCCCTCTATCTTCACCAGATCGTCAGTCCACCTAGTGGGGGACTTCCTTACACTCGTGGTCAATATTCGAGAACTTTTCTGCCCCAGCGGCCATCAGCTCTGCGAGCTATGAGCTATAGAAGTAAATATGTTTAATAAAACGAAACATAGAACACCAAAATATTTTTCAAATAAAGTACGACAAATATATCGCATTCGTCTTCAGGTGTTCTCTTATAATTTTGTTTCCATAAACTTGGGAGTATTATATCAAAAATATGACTTTCCTCAAATAAAAAAGCGTCATATCCAGAGACGATCTTTCCGCGCCACTGGGCTAGAAGAGTGTGACGTCCCGCCGGAAAACCGCGTAACCGAGAATTTACAACAAAATGTGCCGTTTTTAAAATACGACCATTTTGTGTGTGAACAAATACGGCGGTATCGACTTTTTGCTATAGCCCGCAAATGTGATACGTATTTGCAACATTGCGCAAAAAGGGAAACCGTTATCTGAATAAAATTCAGTTGTATTGTTTAAAATATTTTATTTCACTCTACGTCTTTAATTATCAGGACTACTTTATTAATAAAACACTTTTTTTTAACTTTAAAGATGGTTTTATGAATAAAATTCATCTTTTATTATTATTTTTTAATAAAATAATTAATTTGCTTAGATAAAAATTTAACTTTGAGAAATATTTGCCTATCGGTACGTATTAATATTAACTCATTTTCAACCGACTTAAAAAAAGGAGGAGGTTCTCAATTCGACCCGTATGTTTTTTTTTTTCTATGTTTGTTACGCGATAACTCCGCCAATTATGAACCGATTTGAACAAATCTTTTTTCGGCGTATAGGTAATACCTCAAGGGTGGTCCCATTTAAATTTAATAATAGAAAAAACAACCCCCAAGGGTGGAAAATTGGAGATGAACTTTTTTATACGCAATNTCCGAACTGGAGGTTCAGGCTCGCTGCATCGTGAAAATGCTGACTCTGCAGGTTAGGATGGCAATACAGCAGTTTAGCCAACATTTTCAAGGTGTAACAGTACGAAGTCGCGGGCGGCCGCTAGTAGCTCTATAAGTATAGTTTTGATTGCGGTCAAAAGCTATATAGATTTAAGCTACACAAAAGCTTGTGTGACAATAAATGAAGTTAGTCTTGTATTAACTAAAATAAAGACAATACTTAGTAAAGAAATTTAAAGATTAACTTAGTAAAAAAATAATTTGGAAAATATGAGATGCGTGGCAGGCATTGTGTATCTTTTATTTTGTCTTGTGTGAACTTCGTCCCGCCTTTGTTCATCAGAAATAATGTATAATTCAAATGATAAAATAGTTTTTCAAATCGGTGTAGTAGTTTCGGAGCCTATTCAAAACAAACAAACAATCTTTCCTGTTTATAAATTAGTGTAGAAAACTGATAAGTTAAAAAAAAAAACGTTGTCCATTCTTTCAGTACACACCCTGTATTATGCCAGTTACGACAGTTAGTTCAAAATTAAGTTTGCCGTATCTATAAATACTCATTTTATCAGTTGAGTTAACTATCCCCAAAGTTGTATTAATACTATTTTGAGATAGAATCAATACCACTTAGAACTTTGAAGTATTAATGATTACTAGAACTGGCTCAGTTCAGAATTATGTTTATTGGTTAATGTTTGAAGTTAAGAGTTGTACTAAAATAACTTAATAATTATTGATATACATTGGTAAACGATGATCATTTAGGTATTAGTAGCCATTTGTATGTTTATGCTGAGCACATTGCCTAAGGTTTTATTAATGCAAAATGGCGGAGTTTTTTTGTGGGCCTGTAGGCCTAGGATTCGCGCCGCGAAGCGTTTATCACGCCGTTTTATCGATTTTACGCGATAAGCCCATACATTTGTCGGCTAGAATTATTATCGATAAGATTTTATCACGGCACACATCCTGGCCGTGCCTGCAGTCGCTTTTTTTTAATCTGCAACGAAGAAGCTCTTAGTCTGTATCTCACCTAATGGAGAGTAAAGATCAGGCTGAAGGTGGAAGTGAGCTTTACCCAAAATCCCTTAGTACAGACGAACTAATAAGTCTGCTACCAGTGTAATAAGATAATTTGGTTTTAATATAAATGCACAATTTTAGCGCTGGTTCAATTTCTTTAATCTTTTCTACATAATTTACTTCATAATATGTTTATTAGAACTAGTCCATTTTTATATCTCAAAACTAACACTTTCTCTGTATTTAATCATCTCTATTCAACTACCCGCAGTGTGACGGCGTTGAGTCGAAAACTTTTTCGCAAAAGCTACATTCGAAGCTGGCCAAAGTTCAAGCCGTTCTCACGGTTGGCGAGCTTACGTTTTCGAGCTTTCGATTTAAATTTTCATCGGGCTGCCGCAAATTCTAAGGTGTGTTTTATTTTGTACAGCTGCCACAGTATACCTAGTGTTTATTTACGTCTTGCTAGAATAGTTATGAGTTTTTGGACTTTTACGATCTAGAATTGGGTAAGTTGACTCCACTCCCCAGTAATTTTATTTAAAGCACAACTTTTTTAAATAATAATAATTATTATTCATTTATTTCACCCACATACAGATTTAAGGCACTTCATTTTGGTCTTAAACTTAATTGATTCTAAATTACTGTAAATTCAGATTTTATTTAGTTTAATTGATATTATAAAGTAGTGACGTCACTAGCTAGTTCGTTCGTTCGTTTCAGCCGAAAGACGTCCACAGCTGGACAAAGGCCTCCCCCAAGGATTTCCACAAAGACTGGTCCTGCGCCACTCGCATCCAGGCGGCTCCGATTGCTACGATTTTATCGATTCTGCGGGCTATGTCAGTCACTCTGGTTCTCCTACGGAACTCCTCATTTCTGATTCGATCACGCAGGGAAACTCCGAGCATAGCACGCTCCATCGCCCTTTGGGTGACCTTGAGCCTTCTTATGAGGCCCATAGTAAGCGACCACGTTTCGGATCCATATGTCAACACTGGCAACACACACTGCTCGAAGACTTTCGTCTTGAGACACTCCGGTATTTCGGACATGAGTATATGGCGAAGCTTCCCGAACGCTGCCCATCCGAGTTGGATTCGACGATTGACCTCTTTCTCGAAGTATCGGCGCCTTAACAGACAGATCTCCAAGTCTTTGACTCGCGACCTACGCCAATTTAATACAGACCGTATTAAAGAGGCGATTGAGCGAAACAAGGGCTCTAAAGTGTTCGCAAGAGATCTGTCTGTTGGCCAAAGTCAACTGACCAAGCTGAAGACAGAGGACGGCAGAGCCATTTCGTCGGGGCNTCCGAACTGGAGGTTCAGGCTCGCTGCATCGTGAAAATGCTGACTCTGCAGGTTAGGATGGCAATACAGCAGTTTAGCCAACATTTTCAAGGTGTAACAGTACGCAAAGTATTGCATTATTAATATATACAAGTTACATGTAGTAACTTCAACCGCCTTAAAGAGCTGCTTTCATTAATTAAGCGGGAGCAAGTAACTCGCATTACCTTATTAGTGTAACACATCGCCGGCAAGTGGTAGAGAGACGTGTACAAATGCAAACGGACGAATGCCGCGACATTTTTCGGTCAACATAGTGCACGGTAACCCAGTTGCGCACGCCGGCGCCAATGGTAGGGCCACCACTCTAAAAATTTAAGCTAATAATTATGTTTCATCTACATTTTGCTCCTATCCAATTAATAAGTTTTATATTTTGTTCTACATTTACAAAAAAGGTAAACATACATTATTGCTGCAAAACGAACGTGAAAATAATGTAGAGACATGCTATGTTAAGTTACTTAACTTCGCACTTAGTCAAATAGTCAAGGAAGTAGAAAAGAATTGCATAAATACCATTAGGTGGAGTCTAAAAACTAAAAGATTTCGCATTGAAAATAACGTATCGACCTTCAGCTTAACTTTTGGCAACCCTACCAACTCATTTGATTAATGCCGCCTCCGAAAGATAATGGAGGCAAAAACACGAGCAACATTTCAAGCACTTGTCTGATTCACGTCTGCTCTTTTTGAAAGGTAATACCTATAATTAGGGGGTGAAAGCTGCAGCCATTTTTATTCTAGTTCCGTGAGCAGGCGTTTTGTTCACACGATTTGTCTATTGCTGTTTTGGTGATACCAGCCAGTAAAGAACATAAACAAGTTTCATTTTCTCGAAAGGGAGAGTTAAACCTTTGATGGTGATTGATGGACATTCGAAACCAATAAATATGTATTAAAGAGAATATGTATTCATTAACAGTAATAAGTACATTTGTAACAAAACTAAGTGACCGTGGGTTTCAGTTGAAAAAGTGTCACATTGAAAAGTTTCGTTAAAAATAAAGTTTCACTGTTCCAGTTTCGCTTATCTCTCATCTTTAGACTTTGTGAAATTCTCACACGGTGTTAAATGCTATCTAGTTATCTTTCGAGACCGGCATCGCGAGTCGTGACATTCATCGCTAATAAAAACAAATTTCACCTTGGACTTGCCAAAAGCCGCGTTAGTCGTGTGACCTTCAGCGATACTATTGCAGTATCATTTCTTTTAATTTCATTCGAAAGCTCTACATTTCGAGATAGTATTTAATAAGCATTTCGCACGCAATACTAAGACCCTGACTTTAGTAAAAATCGATAAGTGTTCAGATGACTCGCTCTATTTTAGAGGGTAGTCTTTTGTATCTGAAATGGTTCTTGTATCTGAAGTTTAGTTTTCGACAGTAATTCAAGATTAGATAAATGACTCTCTGTATCTGAAGTTTAGTTTTCGATTCGATTGATCGGTTAAAGATATTTATTTCTGAAAACTTGACATAATTACTTAATACAAAAATCACAAAATAACTACTAATATTACAAAACATAATTACGAAGTACGCCTACTTAACCCAATAAGTTAAAGAGTGAGACGCTGCATTTCCATTAACTGTATCATCCTATTTTGCCTTGTTCATTCGTCAGCAATTTTGATTGCCTTCAGCTCCTAATTTCGTTTTCTGTTTGTTGCAGAGCCCCGGTGCTGTGAGCGGCTCGGCTGCGGACGCGCAGAGCGGGTCACGTGACGCGCTGGACGTGCGCTACTCGCTGGCAGCGCTCGCTGATGACTACACCAAGCGCAAGCACGTCGTCAGGGTCACCACCGCCGCCGGTGCAGAGCTGCTGCTGCAGGTAACGGCACTATTCCCACCGCTGCAACTCCTGTTTAGTCAGGATCTACAGCTTGACCCCTGGTTGGGTCAAAGGTCAACTTTGTCCCGGGGAAAGTAAACTGTCATTAGACGCACATAGCGGGTCACGTGACGCGCTGGACGTGCGCTACTCGCTGGCGGCGCTCGCTGACGACTACACCAAGCGCAAGCACGTCGTCAGGGTCACCACCGCCGCCGGTGCCGAGCTGCTGCTACAGGTAAGGCACTATTCCCACCGCTGCAACTCCTGTTTAGCCAGGATCTACAGCTTGACCCCTGGTTGGGTCAAAGGTCAAGCTTGTCCCGGGGGAAAGTAAATTATCAGTAGACGCGCAGAGTGGGTCACGTGACGCGCTAGACATGCGGTACGCTGGCGGCGCTCGCCGACGACTACACCAAGCGCAAGCACGTCGTCAGGGTCACCACCGCCGCCGGTGCAGAGCTGCTGCTGCAGGTAACGGCACTATACACCCACCTCTCGCTCCCACTGCTGTAAGACCACCTGCTTCAGACGCAGAGGTCCCGGGTTCGATTCCCAGTGAGGGCAGATTTTTCTGTTCGGTTTGGTTGGTGGGAGGTCTGCCTGGCTAGCTACCACCATCTTACCTAAGTCTGTCGCCATAACAACAATGTTAAGAGCATTATTGTGTTCCGGCAGTTAGAGGTAAGATAGCCAGTTCCTCCGTGGTTGAGGATTCCGGGTGAAGCTCGCTTCCACCTTCGGCCTGATCGTCACTTACCATCAGGTGAGATACAGGCCAAGAGCTTACTCGTTGTGGATAAAAAAAAATAAAAAAAAATCCTGTGTAACCAGTGATGGTCAAGTTTGTCCCGGGGGACAATTAATCAGAAGAACATAGAAGTTTGAAATTAAGATTCGAACCTTTCAGTGCAAAGAGGATGGTGGGCTATACAGTATACCCTACCAGCTGCTACAGTTGGTGTAACGCATACACGCTGCGCTATTCTATTCTCATCACACAGATAGAGCGCGCCATTCACTGGCAACAACTTAGTTCAGAGCTACTGCTCCATCCATAGTCACTGTTAAGCTTTACGAACTAATTAAAATTTTGTACCGAGCGCTTACAAGAAACGCTATTCTGATAGCACACCTAACGTCTGTAGGCATTTACCTAATGCTGTATCTAATGCTTTATGAATTCGCTCTCACCACACCAGTGTCGATTGAAATATAGTCGTATGAATTTATTTGTACTTATACGTGTTTGTGTCACTTACTAATGAGGTATTGAATAATCTTATGCCCCATCATTAATCGTTGCGGTGTGATTAGGAAATACCATCATAACATTTCCATAAATAGTATGAGGTTATAGGAAAGCCATTATTTATGGGATTGAGTAACAAACGTCGAATAAATTCGAGTTTTCCGTTAGTAAGCTGACCCAATTTTTATGGTGACGCAATGAACAGGTTACTAGTTACCCACTGACCCTTGATTTGAATTGGTGATAAGCCAACGAGAGGCCAATCCAATTGCTTCTGGTAACTAAGCGACAATGGTCCAACGGTGAAGGTGTCGGACTGGCCGACTCGAGATCCGAGGAACGCTGGTCGCCGCTGGACTATTGTAGTGAACACACCCGTAACTAGCATTCAGCAGCTTGGCACAGGGAGTTAACGGTTCTATTAGTACGAGTAATTTGTGCAATTAGAGTTAGCCGTGCTATTGCAATGGGTACTAAATGACACGTTTATTCATAAATGTCGCGTTAAGACCCGTGTCTTTCTATTTTAGTAGAAATGGAACGCAAAAGTTTAAAATATTATACTAAATGACTTGTTCTTAATAGGCGGACGGCGCGACAGACGCTCAGCGCTGGTTAGCGGCGCTGCGAAGACATTCAGCGGAGCCTCCGCCCGCGGACCCCGCGCCGCAACCCGCGCCGCCCACGCAACCGGCGCCTGCGCAGCCCGACTGCACTGCTTCGCCGCTGCCGCCGCAGCGCAGCAAGAAGATCGGGAGAAATAGATCGCCTACAGGTAACAAACACAAACTCTCCTTTTCACATATCGTCGTTTAAGTTCTATCACCACGTAAGTCATTTTTTGGCGTTTTTTGGCATTTTGATGCCATTAGCTAGTGAATCGAAACACGCGTCGTTTCGTCCAATCTCCTGAAAAGTTGCTAAAAATGACTTACGTGGTGAATTCTTAAACGACGATCACCATCATATCATCTTCATCATCATCATTTCAGACATAGGACGTCCATTGCTGAACATAGGCCTCCTCCAATGATTTCCATAATGACCGGTCGGTAGCGGCCTGCATCCAAGTCTACTTTTGACATTACGTACTTTATAAATTAACGCTCCCTCATAGACACGAACAAAAAAAGAAGCGACCCTGCTTATTTTGCAGAAGAAACGGATTCCGAGACTAAACAAATACGGAACACGAAAATAATAAAAGTGAAAACTAGTTTACATAATCTGAAATTTAACGTCGGTTGTCCTTTCCCAAGGCCTCGATTTCAATGTCAGTTTCAGTAGGTCATCTTCTATTATTCACACCTAAAGTATTGTCTTGTTAGAATGATGTAGAAAAAAATTTTGCTTATTTTATATTTTACTCAAACATTTCTTATTTCCTATTGTTACTTTTTGTACTGAAGAAAATATTTAAAAATCCTCAAAAATGCTTAGCCATTTTGCTATTATTATTATCCTAGACTATTTCCACTTCTTGATCCCACCGCTGCAACTCCTATGTAGCCAGGATCTACAGCTTGACCGCCAATAAAATCTCTACCAGTGAAGACCATTGGACCCAAAATTAATAAGAAGAACATAGAAGGAGTTAGATAGTAGGTATAGGATCTAATAAATGTTGTCCTTCCAGGTCCACCAACGCCAACGCTTCCTTCGTCGCCCAAGAACAAGACGTGGAAAGGGCGCATGGCGAAACAGCTGCGGCGCATGCATGGAGGCACCAGCACGGCCCCGGCACCTTCCGGCTGGCTGGGGGCGCCTCTGGAGCGCTGTCCCTCTGATCCGGAGCACCCGCTCGTGCCTAAGGCGGTCACGCTGCCGGCACAGGCTGTCGAGGTAAGCTGCGTGGTTTCAAATGCCGACAACCTTCTTTTAAGAAGATTTGTCTATCTAGTCTATAAATAGGAATTGCAAAGCCACGATAGCCGAACGGTGAAGGGGTCGGACTGGCCGACTCGTGATCCGGGGAACCCAAGTTCGGTCCCCGCTGCTCGACTATTGTGGTGAGCTCACTCGTGACACAAGCATATAGCTTAGTACGAGGGGCTAACGGGCATTAGTAATTTGTGACATAACAAATTACTAATAATCTTTATAAAAAAAAGGGAGTTTACATACATAATATGACTCATCTTAAGTGAGGCAGGGTGAAATGAGCATCTCAGAGGCCTTTTTGTAAGAGGCTACAAAAAAAGAGAAGAAAAAGTGAACTAACCTTGAAGCTGAGGAGCTTGACAATTACTTCACTTTTTCATTTAAAAATCGACTTTTTCTGTGCTTGGTGGTGTCCGATTATGACAAATGTTTTCGTTCATTTTGTCTTACATAATCTTAACACTGACTTAACACATTTTTTTTACTTTTTAGGCGTACGGTCTCCGCACAGTAGGCGTGTACCGCGTGCCAGGCAACGCAGCGGGCGTGGCGGCGCTAGCGGCGGCCTTAGACCGCGGCGAGCCCCCGCCGGCGGGAGACGCACGCTGGGCCGACGTGCACGTGGCCTCGTCACTACTGAAGGCCTACCTGCGTCGGCTACCCGACCCCCTGCTCACTGCTGAGCTCTACCCAGCTTTTATTGGTGAGTGTCTATGAACGCAGTCATATGTAACGCGACAGGGCGGCGTCGCACGCTGGGCCGACTGCACGTAGCCTCGTCGTTACTCAAGGCCTACCTGCGTCGGCTACCCGACCCCCTGCTCACTGCTGAGCTCTACCCAGCCTTTATTGGTGAGTGTCTATGAACGTAGTCATATGTGACGCGGCGGTAGCGCTAGATCGTAGCGTCGACGCTCCCTGGGCCGACGTGCACGTGGCCTCGTCGTTACTGAAGGCCTACCTGCGTCGGTTATCCGACCCTCTGCTCACTGCTGAGCTCTACCCAGCTTTTATTGGCGAGTGTCTATGAACGCAGTCATATGTAACGCGACACGGCGGCGCTGGATCGTGGCGGGAGACGCTCGCTGGGCCGACGTGCACGTGGCCTCGTCGTTACTCAAGGCCTACCTGCGCCGGCTACCCGACCCCCTGCTCACTGCTGAGCTCTACCCAGCTTTTATTGGTGAGTGTCTATGAACGTAGTCATATGTAACGCGACGGCGGCGCTGGACTGCGGAGTCCCCGCCGGCGGGAGACGCTCGCTGGGCCGACGTACATGTTGCCTCGTCATTACTCAAGGCCTACCTGCGCCGGCTACCCGACCCCCTGCTCACTGCTGAGCTCTACCCAGCTTTTATTGGTGAGTGTTTAATAACGTAGTCATTTGTGACGCGACGGCGGCATTGGATCGCGGCGAGCCTCCTCCGGCGGGANTCCGAACTGGAGGTTCAGGCTCGCTGCATCGTGAAAATGCTGACTCTGCAGGTTATGATGGCAATACAGCAGTTTAGCCAACATTTTCAAGGTGTAACAGTTCCTATCGTTTGTAAGAACTTTAATACTCAGATGCGACCAAATTGGTGAATTAGATTTTACAACACAACAGACCATACAGTTTAATTATTTTCACTGAGTTGGCTTTCAAAAACTACTTTAACGAGTCTCGACTAAATGTTTAGCTAACGCCAAAAAGAAGCACGAGAAGCTCAGCCACCATCACATCATTTTCAATCATTTTAAAAGATTCATAGTGGTGTGGGTAAACAGTTTTTATAATGCTCACTTTTTTCTTTGATTTGATCAAATGAAATCTAGCTAATAGAATGATTCAGTGAGACGTGGGGTAATAAAATAAACCAATTACTTTAGTTGTCTGGACATATCTGTACATCTTGTATTTCCACATAAAATCAACAACAATAACAATATAACTAAACACTAATTTCGCGGGATTCCCTCAGGGAGTTATTTTCTGAGAGAAACATGAGTACTACTTTTTCATCCTGATACTAGCTTTGAAACAGCGTTCGTTAACTCAGGGACGGTAATTGAAGACTTGCGTAACGAAGTGAATGTTAACGAACGATGTTTCCAAGTAAACTGTGAGTTTTGTACTCCTAAATAAATAAGAGCCTGACAAAGGTGACTGAGTTTCTTCTGCAACCTCTTAAGTATTCTCAGGCCTATAGGTAGATGCAGAAGTGGTGGTAGAGCAAATTAAAAGAGCTTAATGTGTACATAAAAAATAAATTTATACGATTCGAAAAAAATTGCCAAGCAAACAAATAGTTGTGTAAAAGGCAAACTCAGTTGTTGAAACACCAGGCGCTCAAACGGGGAATATTTTTTGAAATTTCCATAGTCACCCGGGGGACGCGCCAGTTTCGACGGTGTGCCAGGATTAAGTTTAGAACTAGCGACACACTGTTTTATTGCGCTAAATCCAAAGGGATTATAAAAATAAATATGAACTCGCTAGTCGTAACTTGTTCAATCTATCTTGTTTTAGAAATAAATAACTAAAAAGTTGCATTGCTAGTGCCACCATATGTTAGTAAAGCTGGATTGGAACAGAAGCACGGTATTTCATATTTCTATTCGGAACGTAACCTGCTGACTGTAACATCTATCCAACTAAAATCAAATTGATTTCTGAAAATCAAACACAAAACCTCTGGGTAGGCAGTAAGCATAATTTGAACTTGGAAATAATTCATAAGATTTCTGAGGACTCTATAATCTATATCAACTTCTTACTCATGTAGGTTTTTGGAGCTATTAAAATGTGTAAGCCTTTTATATATCTCTATGTTTATCCATATTCACAATATTTGTTTTATCCAATTGAGCACACAAGAACTCTACTAGTATATAATAAACCAAACACGTTAGAGGTATAACAATGGAGTTGTTACATTCCACATTCCACTCCTAAGACGTTCGGATGTCTGACAAATATTTTTGAATAAAAAATTGGGTCTTTTTGGTAATGCAAATGAATAAATTCAGGTTCCTTCGCTTGTTTGATGAGAAGAAACCCCAGTCAAACAGGACGAGACGTAATTAAACCGCTTGTCGGGCCGATATATTGCGAATTTATTGCAAAAGGGGCGTTTCTACAAACAGCCGACTCAAATCCACCGCCCGCGCTTCAACCACTGATATAGGAGACGTTGTAGGCTACAGGCGAAAGGCAAGGGCAGTAATTATGGAATGTCCCATTTTAATTCATAAATCGGCGCCTTGGCCTGCAGCGGCAGCCTAGAGCTAATAAGTGAGATTGACATGTTTGATTGCATTTGAGAGAAGTAGGTAGTTTGATTGTATTAATTGCAAATTCAGTTAAACAAAATGCTTTTTATACCTTTTTTGTATTATTAATTTGGGGATTGAATATGCGCGATGGTGTCTAGACTCTAGACTTTCATTCGTTAATGTTAGACTATCGCACATGGTGTCAATGGATACATTTCTCTGTTAGCTTATCAGAAAATACTAGAAATATTATAGGTATTTTTAGGTTTTTATGAGTAAAGCCAAATAAAATCTTCCTTTAGCAATGGCCAAACACAAATATATGTCTGCGCTTCAGTGCGGCAAGGAAATTGAATACACAATCTCAGGAATCGACCTCCCGCCGGATTACGGGCCGGCGCATACTATATTTTACTAGAATACACTCGCGAGCGCTCCGGGTGCGGAGAGATGACGCAATACGATCGGAAAATCTCCTTCGAGAAGTTTCTGCGACACGCAAGACTTGCAGTTCGGTGGTTGCCGGAGTACCTTCACAGCTCAGTGGTCACCCAACCACCGAGTGACATACTTGTAGAGCGCTTTGTTGGTCGCGCGTTAAGGTATACCAAAATAGCCAAAGAAGCTTAATTTTCTACAATCTTCCGCCTGTATCAAGCATTCAAGCAACGTAGACTTGAACTGTGCTTGAAGTTTAATTCCTATGATGTCTAATTCCTAAATCAAATGCCAGATCTCTAAATCCCAGTTAATTCTAGTTATCTCAGCTGACATATCACCTATGTTTGAACCATTTGCTTCTTTTTTGTGACATCAATTATTTCTTCTGTCTTCAACTGGCCATTTCTTCACCGTCTCGTCTCTTTCTCTTCTTCCGTGTTCTCAGTGGACAAACAGCTTTATTCTTCGCCAGATCAAATATTCTCAAATAAACAAGGCTCGAAAGCTTAAGCCGATTACGTCATCGATTTTAGTGTGTATTGTGATTCTTAGCACAGGTATTATTGTAAGTTCAAACTTCAAATAAAGAAAAGGAATACGAGGGGCGGCTGAAAAGTTTTGAGCCTAAGTATCTTCAAGTGTTATTATTGACTCGCGCTAAATTTAATTAATTAGCCAATAGCCTCCTTAGTATATGTACAAAGTTTCATTTAAATAGCGTCATCACGCTTTTAGTAATTAATTCGTAAACACCACCATGTCTCAGTCATCCGCGCAATGTACGAAATTGAAGTACACAGTTGTCATAAAATTCTTCAGAAAGAGGAACAAAACGCTGACGGTAACATTTGAAGAGATGTCTACAGTTTATGGGAAGTCTTGGCCTTCATTTGCTATCATGAAAGATTGGGTCCGATAGTTCAAGCATGGCAGGGAGTCGCTAAAAGATGACCTCAAGTCAGGGCGGCCAGATTTCGCCATTAACGAATAAAATAATGAAAATTTAAAGAATCTTGCTTTAGAGATCAGCGAATTAAGCTGTGACAGATAGCTGAAGCCATAGGCAGTAGCAAGGAACGTATCGGCGATATTTTTCATACTCATTTGCACATGAAAAAGGGGTGCACGCGATGGGTGCCAAAAATGCTCACGCCGCTCGACAACTAGGGTCGAGTCACAACTTCGCAGGAGTTTTAGGTCATCTTTGGCCATAATCCTAACAATTTTTTTTCTCACATTGTTACTATTGATAAATATTAGATCCGGCAGTACGATCTAGAGTCAAAATAAGAGTCAATGCAATGGATTCAAAAGGGAAAACGCCGCCGCGGAAATTCAAAGTGGAGCGATCGACACCCAAGCTCATATCCACTATTTTTGGGATTGTGGAGGAATTTTATTCATTGACTATCTACTACAAAAAACTACAATAAACGGAGATTATTATGCTGTACTGTTGATAAGAGTGCGTCAAGCGGTTGTTGAAATATTAAGAGGCAAACTGGCGAAAGGAAATCTGTTATTGCAAGACAATTCGCCCGCGCACACCGCGCAAGTTGCAAGGCTTGCCCCGGGTAAAACTGGATTTCAAGAAATTAATCACCCACCACACAGTTTAGTCCGAATTCCTAGCTATTTTGTCTAATTCTCAAATTCAAAAAAAGACCTCCAGGAACGTAGATTTTTGAGTGACAAAGAAATGAAGACGGCGTTAAAGGCTCATTTCGAAGGCAAAGATTGCGAATTTTTTTTCAGTGGGTTAAAAGTTCTTTTACACAAATGTAAGAAGTCCGTTGTAGTAGAGGGAGATTAAATAGAAAAATATATTTTTTATACTTTTCTATCGGCATTTTTAATACCCTAGGCTCAAAACTTTTCAGCCGCCCCTCGTATGTAGTCAGAATCAGTGTTATGCTTTCCTCTATAAATCATCCGATTATCCACTTCAGTAAACTATCACAATACCGAATGTATTTATTTATATTCACATGTTATTACTATATTAAAGAAAAGCATCGGCAGCAAAAGTATTGAAACACGTTTAACATAATACTAATTATTTTTCTTGTAGCTGTGTTCCCCAGAATGATGCCTCCGTCCGATAAGGCCAGTCAGTCCGCGTCGGGCCGGCTTTGTCACCGGTGATGAACGCGCGGACATCGGTGATTGATGCCGATAAGAAATCAAGTCGTTTACACGTTACTTCTTGGACTGTCTGGTTACGTAACTAATACCTTTTCTCGTATTTCCTTAGCCTTCCGCTCGCAAGATCAGTCGTTACGATTCCCATGCGTTTTTGTTGGTAATAAGTCCACGGACATTCATGATAGTTGT